CATAAACAAGATATTAATGAAAATAAAACTTAAGAATTAAAAAAAATACAAAGAAAGAAAGGAAGAGCTTAATCTTGATCTAAAAACTAAGATGCTTAAATACATGGCAAATGCCTCCTTTTATAGGCCAAAATTGAAAACTATTGATTTGTTGACTCATTGTTGAGTAGGTGGTTACATCTTAACTTGGTGACAATCCTTATCTTCTTATCTAAACAAAACGTCATTGCTAACATCAGAATTTAGACAGACTTAATTCATGAAAGTTCTAAGAAATTATCTAACTTTCTAATTAAAAAAATTAAGGTCATTTGGACTTCTAGAACTCAAGATATGGGCTAAACATCGAATAGTATTTGGGTTGCAAAACAGATTTTGACTTCTCTTTTGATGTTAAGATTTGGATTTCTAAACAGCAGAATTGGGTTTTGGATAATCATGAATGTTTTAGGCATATGTCTTAGCTTTCCATCTATATAGAGCATACCCAAATCTAAGTTCTATAGCTCCAGATATGACCTAAAGACTGGATAGTGTTCCTCTTTGGACTGCACCAGCATCTCTTTTCTAAGTTTAGCCCTCTCTTTGTCTTCTCAATTTCAGTAGTTAAACTTATCAATCAATCATTTTATTTATGTGATAGACCTATATAAGATAAACATTTACCATAAATTAAAGGCATCTTATGATATTAGACATGATATTATAAAACATACTCTAGTTAAGGAGTTATTGATATTTCAAGTGTAAAAATAATGATATAAAATAATGATAAAAATACACTTTTAAGTACTAATCATTGGCTATTATATTTTTTCCCTTCCACTAAAACTAAAAATTTTCTAAACTAGTCTCGCTGATGGTGGGAATATTTTGGTTGCCTCTATGGCATTCTTCAACCTCATCCAATGGTTGAAATGGTATATATTTTTCATACAAAATTTTAAAGCTTAAAAAATAAGAAAAAATTCCCTTTAATACTAATTTTTTGTTCCAAATTCTTTGTACCATGGCTTTGTCATGGTATTTTGACTCCAACACTTAACATGGGTATCTTATACTTATCGGAAGATTCAAAATCAAATGGTAGGATTCCTTTGCAGTAAAATTCAAAAGTTCCATACCAATAATTTTACAATGGTTAAAACATAACCAAAAGGATGAGATTAAAGACACAAACCCTCAATCCAAATTCTTAGCTTAAAGATCTCATGCCTTCGCACTCTCAGTTGTAACAAAATTCAAAGAAGAATACTTTATGACCATGAAGCAACTCCTACAAAGCAACAAAGACACTGATTCATATTCGTATTCATATTCATCTTCATCTTCATCTTCATCTTCATCTTCATCTTCATCTTTATCCATCATAGATCTAGCAAATGATAATGAAGATGATTCTTATGTCATTCTTCCACCTATACGAAACCTATAAACAATTTATACCTACAAATGTAAATGTGAAAAAAAGATATTTAAGAGGCCTAAAAAATTTAAAGGCTCGTTTTCATTTTAAACCCTTTCAAGGCCCTTTTAGCCTAATTTTTCTATAATTTCCCACTTTTAGAAGAAGATATTAGATTTTTAGTGATGAGATTTCATGGTAGACAACTACATCAATTTTTTCAAAAAGCAACATGATTGCTTCACAAAAATTCAAAGAGGCCTTTCTTAAATTACTTTATAAAAAGGGACTACTCCTAGGCATTCAAGGCAGGACTTCAAAATAGGATTTCTTTGTAAACAAAACTTTCTTAGATAATCCTTTGTAAATAAAACCTCCAGGAAGATCCTCCTATAACCATACACAAAATCTATTATACTCATATCTCTTATATCCATTTTCAATACAAATCTAAGATTTCTTCAAATTTATTACTATTTATATTTAAATTTTGCATTTCTATAATTATATTCTTACATTTATAAGTATGTTTTGTATTTATTAAAGGATCCTGTCATTTTTAGACTTGCCTCTACCTTCACATTAAAATTATTGTGTTTTTGTTATTGTTTTTTTTGTTATATATAGACACAAACACCTCTCACACTTTCTCATATGTTCACACTTAATAGATGTCACTCCTTTCTTGTTTCACACATATTTTAAGTTTTTCATTCTAATATGCTCACCTTTGTCTTTTACCACTCCATTCTCAACATTTCATTTCTTTAAGGAACTAGCATACAACAAATCAAAGACTAATATCTTAATGGCATAATCAAATAATGTAAAGACTTACTAAGCAATAAAATTAAAAACTATCAATATAAAACTATAAATACGAAATCACAAATATCAGTACGAATTCATGTGAAATATGAATGATACAAAGACATAAGAAAAGACTCTGAAAATCAATAAACTAATGGAATAAGATTTAAATGACTCAAAATAACAAAATCTCTTTTAAAAAAAGTTTATACATGGTGGTCAAAACTAAAAAATCAATGACACATTAACTATCTATTTTTTTAATATGATTTTCAAGAAAACTCAACCAAGTAAATCTAAAATATCCCAAATTAAGATTTATCTCTAAGAAACCCCAATAATCAAGATTGTTTTTCAGATTTAAAATAAATGGCTGAATTATATGTTTCTTAAATCAAGATTTGTGAAAAACTCTAAGAAAAGATTTCTCATGATTTTTCTTTTTTTATAAGACTTTATTTAATCAAGATAGAAAATAATTTATTTTTTTGAATTTGATACCACAACTCGTTTTTAGAAAAGATAAAGAAGTCGACAACAATGGAGTATGTGAAAACTTGAAGATAAAAGGATGTAATCTTATTTAGAGTCTTACTCTAATACCAACTGATATGAACCCCAAAAATATAAATACTTAAAAACTCACAATCAAATTGACTATTCCAAAGGAATCTAATTCAAGCTTGTAATTGAGTTTGACATAATGATGATCTGAACCGATGCATCAAGACTAAAAGTAACTAAATCCTCACCTAACACCTATAAAGAGGCACAAATAAGAGATATCGAATATACCATGAAGCTTGGTTAATTCTTCAATAAGTCAAACTATTTTAATGAAGAACCAAAAAGTATGAGCAAAACCTCTTACACACAAAATAATTGCTAATATCAAAATATGTCAAGAAAACTAAATACAAGCTAAATAATTCTATTTATAATATGTGAAAAAGATCATAAACAATGCTATAAAAATAATGAAAGAGTTCTAAGTCAAATAAGAAAAAGAATCTTAAATTAATTAGGAAATTAATACAATTCTCCTATAATAACTTTTAAACCTTATCAAAAGACCTTTTAAATTTCTGATTGCCTTGAAATTTTAATACAATATAGAACAAAACCTTTAAAAAAAATTGATAAAATTTAAGCATGAACAGTTGGATATAAAATTATTCTTGCTAGAGTAAAATTGTATATTTGGAGAAATAAGCCTTTGACTATTGAAATTGATTAACCAATAAAGTAGATGGATTAAATGCCCCTATTATAATAGATTAAATTAACTAAGATCTGATCATCACTTATTGAAGATGTAGCCTCCTTAAAATTCACCTAAGCCCAAATACTCTAAATAAACCTATTGAATGGATCTTTGACCTTGTTTGCTCTTGATATTGTATCTAACCTAATTAAAACTTGCAGTGGATCTTTTAGTGCATTCTATATCATATTAGTTTCTATCTCTTTTTTTAGGTTTCTTTTTTTTCTCTTTCATTTCTTTTTTTCTTTTGCACCTCTTTCTGGCTCAAAACACCTTTATTTTCAACGCAAAATTCTTTTTTTCCTTTCTCTCAACATTTTCTTTTTCCAACATTGGTCCTTCCTTTCCTTGTTTCCCCCCTCTATATATAGGTGAGATAGAAGCTCCTAGAACCCTTTTTGCTAAAATGATCATGACCATTGATTTCTTTGAGTTAATCTTAATCATTCACTATAGTTGTACTTTTTAGCCATTATGTTTATTAGTCCTTTTGTATCACTTTTACAATGACTTGAGAGGCTCAAAACAATGTTTTTTTTGCTAAGCATGCAGTAAACATGGAAGGGAAGGAAGTGGTATGTTGTTTTGTATTTGTGGAGATTGTTGGAGAGAGAAAAGTGAGACCATAATCTAGCCAAAACCATGGAAAAAAACAAAAGTTTCAAAACAACAATATAGCAAGAAAATATGGGTGTTATTTTAACTCAAGTATAAAATGATGTCATGTTACATTTTTTTTTTTAAGTAAAACACATCATCATTTCACTTAACTTAAAGTGAAATGTATTGTTTTACCTAAACAAAATGACATTCTTTTGATATAAATGGATGCTTTGTGTTTTTAAAAAAATTCCCTAGTTTCTCTATTTTTTTTTTAAATTTAATCCTTTGATCTTTATTATTATTAATTTATCCAATTTCGACTTTTTTTTCAATATCTCTTTTCAATTTCATTCTTGATTTCCTTAAAAAATGATCCTCAAATGTTGATGTCTTTTTCAATTTAATTATTGGCTTTCAAAATATCAATAAAATAACTATTTTTTTAATATTTTTTATTGATTTCATCCCTAATCATATCTTTGTATTTTTTTTTTCTAGCTTTAAGAATAAAAAATTAGGTTATAATAATATATAATCTGATAGTAAAATTTTAATATAATGGCTCTTTAATCATTATTTGGAATGGAATAATCATCATGTAATTATTTCAAACTATTTTGATGGTAGATTAGAATTATAATTTCAGCTATAATGTAGAGTGTATATAGATTAGAATGCAAATTATAATTTGAAAATAAAGTGAAATAGCGAGGAGTCACATCATTCATCCAAAGCAACCGCAAAGAAAGGAGGGGAGTGCTGTTGAAAATTGACGTTTCGTTCGTCCTCCCTTGGCACGAAAGAGAGATCTGGTGGAGGGCATCACTTGCAGCTAAAGCTAAGAAGTTTCCTTAGAAAAATAATAAACCGGCCACATGTCCAGAAGACATACCTACCCCGCCAATGCTTCATAAAGTTTATGCTGTACACTCAAACCTTAATTTAAATTAAACTAATGGCTACAGACAAACAACAGAATTGAATTACTCTTGTCTCTCAAAACTCAAAAGATAAGACGCCAAATACAAGGACAGCACTGCACTGCACTGCATTGCATGCATTATTGTTTTGCTTTGTCTAGCTTCATTTAAAACACTGTTAATTTCCTTCACCGGGTAGATTAGATTTGTTGCTTTTGAGGTCAGTTCTCATCTCCATCTGGGCTGCTTTTGCTTTTGCTTTTGGTGAATTCTCTAGGCTAGTATTAGATTTGGTTGTTGATCTAAACTATGTTTGATGTGCTACTTCTTTCAGAAAATCAAAGTTGCATGCTATCCTTTATTTGATGTAGAGTTGTCTTGTCATATTGAATTCTGACGTATGCTACTCTCTCAAAAATAAAAAAATAAAATCAAAATCAAAATCAAAATGTTCTCTTGAGTTTAGAGATCTGATAGTCTTTTTCAGATGGAAACAATGTTGATTTCATTCCTTATCTCTAGTACATGGAAACAAAGGCACTTATACGGTCATGATTATTGTTTTCATTCTTTCTGCTTTCTTTTTATGTTATTTGCTTTGCTCTACATCTTGTTCTTTCATTATCAAATCATTGATGTGATGATAATAACAACAAAAATTTCTCATAAATGAATTTTTTATCCCCTTGATTCTACATCTGAAACCCGTTATCACTGATTTTTTCCCATTGCTTTGTTCTTTTACTGTTTTCAGCATCTTCGATGCTTGATTTATGAAAATACTTCAGTAACATTAAAATTTCTGATGAGTTGTTAACGTCAGGTATAGGAAGGCCATGGGGAAAATAAGCTCTTTTGATTGCAGATCATCTGAATATGTGGGGGTGGTGAGGCTATTACAATAATCAACCAATGGGATTTACCTTCTCCCTCTTTTTGTTTTTGGCTTCTTTCCCTGTGATTTTGGCTCAAGAAGGAACACGTGCTACAATTTCAATTGATGGAACTATTGCGGTTGCTGTAATCGATGATAATTTTATTTGTGCTACTCTTGATTGGTGGCCGCATGATAAGTGTAACTACAACCAGTGTCCATGGGGCTATTCATCCGTAACAAACTTGGTAAGTATCTGTAGATTCTAGTTGAAAAGGCTTTTGAAGGATTTAATTTGCTTTCTTTTTTAGAGTTATGTCTCATAATTGCCTAGTTTTCTTTTTTATTTTCAGGACTTATCTCATCCTCTTCTTGCCAAAGCCATCCAAGGTTCGTATCATTCTTGATAAGCTTGATGGTGAATAATAAACCTGCATCTTTCAGAATTAGCATTGTGTTGAAATATTGCTAGTCTAAGATGGTACGGCATTCTTTGTGGCTATAATAGCCTTCAGGAATTTGAGAATAAGAATTGGAGGTTCTTTGCAAGACCAAGTATTGTATGATGTTGAAAGTTTGAAAGCTCCTTGCCATCCATTTAGAAAGATGAAAGGTGGGCTCTTTGGTTTTTCAAAGGGCTGTTTACATATGAACCGGTGGGATGAACTGAACCATTTATTCAGTAGAACTGGGTGAGATTTTATGCTTGGCTCCTCCTCTTTCTTTCCTTTTGTACATAAATTTTCTCCCATTCTTACCATTACGCCTAGGTAGCTAAATGTCCATTAATCCAATTTCTGTCTAATTAAGGTGCAACTTTATCACTCAAATTGTTCATCCGAGCATAACATCTGTCTCATAAAAAATAATAAAAAGAAAAGTCACAACATGTGAAACACAATTATCTAATTCTGAACAGGGTGGTAGATTCTTATTCTTTAATGCTTGACAGCTGTATTCTGAAGCTCAGAATTTGCTGTTTGGGTAATTTTAATCCTTTAAATTTAAGGCATTGTTGTGGATTTAGATTGCTTCAAGTCTTTCAACTTTTCTCAAGTCTTCAATGTAGAAGTTACTTCAAGTAAGAAGTCCCTCTAATAGATTTGTAAATGCCTTCTTGTGAGCTATGTAGCAGTGCCAGCCACCAAACGTTCCATTTGTTTATTTCTTTTCAAATTAAGCATTTCAGTCTAGTTTACAAGTTATGTTCTAAACCTTTCTGTCATTCAGATCTACTCTGATAACATGTTATCCCAGTTACTTATAGTCAAGTTTACTTTTTTTAAAGCATTCAAGTTTAATTAAACATAATTTGTTGCCATGAAATTTTGCCTTTGGAATAGACTAGGAAAGGCGGAGGTTCTTCATTGTAGGGTACTTACCACTTGAATCATGCATATGCAGGGCCATTGTGACATTTGGTTTGAATGCCCTCTATGGAAGGCACCAGATTAGGAAGGGTGTTTGGGGAGGAGCTTGGGATTCTAGTAATGCTTGTGATTTCATGAACTACACTGTCTTGAAAGGATACAAGATAGATTCGTGGGAATATGGTATAAACTTCAACAATGCTCTTTACTGTTTTGATTCCATATGCTTTTCCTCACTGCTGATATTGCCTTCGTTGTGATAGGTAATGAGTTGAGTGGAAGTGGTGTAAGTGCAAGTGTAAGTGCTGAGCTTTATGGAAAAGATTTGATCAAACTTAAAAGTGTTGTCAACAATTTGTATAAAAACTCTGATCTGAAACCTTCACTAGTAGCACCGGGAGGATTTTTTGACAAGCAGTGGTATGCTAAGCTTCTTCAGGTTACAGGTTCAGGCATAGTCAACTTTGTAACTCATCATGTATACAACTTGGGGGCAGGTGGGTTGTCGTGGTTTAATTGTACTGACATATGCTTATAATGTTATTTCCAATTAAAATTTTTAATCAATGACAGTTCTGAAATGATGTGCATGTAATGGATGAACAGTTACACTAAGGCTCTTTCCAAAGTCACCTTCCTTGTCTTCCAGGCCTTTGTTGTCTCCCCTCGTTCCTGTGAAACAAAGAACTGATCCACCTTCTATGTCAGCCACAAGTAGTTTAAAAAGGCTCACAATCTAATTTCAGTGTGCTACTGCTTCCATTATGAATTAACCTTGAGAATAAACCTGTTAGTTAAGTTTTCAGAACTTCTTACCTCGCTTCTTCCCTTTTATAAAAATTATAATTATCAGATGGTTTAGGTCAGCAATAATAGTAAGAGTCTTCTAGAATCGTATCTGACTTTTGTGTGTGTGTGTGTGTGTGTGTGTGAGAGAGAGAGAGAGAGAGAGAGAAACTTCTCTACTTGTATTTACAATTCATTTTCCTATTCCAGGCATGGATCCCAACCTTGTGAATAAGATATTGGATCCCCATTATTTGAGCAAGGTATCAGAAACCTTCAGTAATCTTTCACAAACGATTCAACAGAATGGTCCTTGGGCTTCTCCTTGGGTTGGGGAATCTGGTGGGGCCTATAACAGTGGTGGTCGTCATGTTTCTGATACATTTGTGAACAGTTTCTGGTAATCTTACTTGCCTATTTGTTCCTTTCTTTTTGTTGAATCCCCATTATTTTTTTGCCTATTTGTTCCTTTCTTTTTCTTGAATCCCCATTATTTTTATTCTTGTAATTATTGTGCTTTCTTTCAAAGGCGGATCACTCCATTTCCATAGGTCTTTTTATGAATATCAGGTACTTAGATCAGCTTGGAATGGCATCCAGGTATAATACTAAAGTATACTGCAGGCAGACACTAGTTGGTGGCAACTATGGTCTCCTCAACACAACCACACTTGTTCCCAATCCTGACTACTACAGGCAAGTGCACAAAACTCCTTTTATGTTATTAGAATATTAAAATATTTGTCTCGTTGTGGAGAGAGAATTTGAAAGAAAAAAAATGAAGTCATTGCTTCTCTACCAGAGATCTAATCTTAAGTTGCTTTTCTTGGATATTTGGTTTCCAACAGCGCCCTTCTATGGCATCGACTAATGGGAAAAGGTGTTCTAGCTGTCGGAAGCAATGCTTCGCCATTTCTACGCTCTTATGCCCATTGTTCGAAAGGAAGAGTAAGCCACATTCTTTTTTTTTAACTTCACATTGAATTGTTAGTTGTGATAGAGTATTGAGCATTTGTAGTAATTTTAAGACAACTGTGATATGAAGAGTTCCATTTTCTTTTTAAATATGGTCTTCATTGGGGCAAGATAGAGCCTTAACATAAATGTCGTATTAAACACTTCACTTTTGTACAGTTGTGAGTTCTATTAATTATTACATGTTCACTGGGACTTCGCGAAGCCACTAAAATCAGTGAATGAATCTTAACTTTCTGAAATATTTAAATCAACTCCATGTATCTTTTTTTTTTTTATTCTGTCCTTGTATTGTGTGATTCTTTGAACTTCTCTAGTGACTTTCCCATCTGTTACAGCTTATTTCTTATGGGTATACTTTCAATCTCTTGGAGATCAACCCTAGATTTGGACAGCATTCATGGCATGCATCATCGAGCTTGCTTTCCATGTAATGTTTGTATTACATAACCTGGAAGGCCTGCATAATGCCATGTGCAATATGTGTTCTTTTATATAGTGGAAGAAGAAGAAATACGGAGAAGCTTTGTGATCTAGAACTTCTGGTTTCTTCTTTCCTACACGGCCTTCCTCTTCAACTTCCATTCACTATCTGGATAGGGGAATTTTGTTTATGAAAATTTACCTAGAGATCTCAAAATTTGGCATGACCTATATGATGCACAAACGTTCAGTCTAGGTGCTAAAATTGCTGGATTTTGGCTGCAAGTCAAATTTCCTGTTCTATTTTTGTCGCTTTTGGTATTAATTTCTCAAAACAAGGGCTTTTGGTTGAATCCTCTTACAATGTTCAGACAATATTTCAGACTGAATTCCCCCCCATATCTATGTCATAAAAGAAGCTTAGTGTTCTCATGCAATGGTGCAAGTGGTTTATACAGCATCTGTCATCTACATGTAGATACGTGTGCTTGTGCATGCATATGTAGCCCTACTCTTTTCTACAACTGTTTCATGCCTCAAAACATTCTGCAAGCTTGCATAAAACACAATGGTTTTACTTGATTATCCACCCAAAAAAAAAAAATCTTCGCTTAATATTTTCATCTTGATACAGGCAGGTATAACGTTACTGCTGATCAATTTAAGCAATCAGACTGATTTCATAATCAGTGTTCAAAATAGCATGGACATGAGATTGACCGTGGAAGAAAACATATCTGGAGAAAACTCTTTCATGCGTGGCCTCAAGAGATCAGTTTCATGGGTTGGGAACCGAGCATCAGATGAACCAATGTATAGAGAGGAGTACCATTTAACTGCAAAAGATGGGTACCTTCAAAGCCCAACCATGGTTCTTAATGGAATCCCGTTAGAGCTTACAGAAGATGAAAACATTCCGAATCTGGACCCTGTCCGTCTTGATTTGAATTCTCCTTTATACATCAATCCTTTGTCGATTTCGTTCATAGTATTCCCAAACTTCGATGCTCCAGCTTGTGCGTAAATCTTTGAAGCAGAATTCGAGCAATAAACTTCACCTTGTTGTATATGAGATTGCAAGGCAGTGATGTAATGATGTGAGCTTAAGGTAATTGTAATTATTGCAGGTGATATATAGTGATAATAAATTGTTCATCAGAACATATAGCTTAAACTTTTTATCTCGAGAATAAATTGTCTCTTGCATGTATTTCTTTGCCCCCACCACAATTGTCCCATAACAAGATAAACCAAACCACGCCCGAAGAACCGAAGGGAAAAAAAAAAGAACGGAAAAAGTTGTGGGAAGATCTGAAGGGAAGAAACATGGTGACTTGTTGAAAGAAACCAAAAATGCACCCTTGCATTTGCTCGTGGTTCTGCCAGGTTGAAAACACGTGGTACAGACTATTATGCGAGGATGGATATATTATAAATATTATTTTAAAATAAATATTCTTTTTTATATAATAAAGCTTACCTATACAAAAATTAAAAAAAAAATTCTTTAAAAATTAAATACAAAACAAAACATTTTTAAAAAAAATTATCCAAAAAATGCTGCAAAACTCACGGACAAGGTCATGGGCCCATAAATTGATAGAAAAAAAATTGAAATTAATTATTAAATCAATTTTTTTAAAAAAAATAAGACAATATGATAAAATCTTTGACCACATCAACTCTTAAAACCCATTATCCATGTTATTAGATCAATCCATGTTATTAGATCAAAAGCACGACAAATAAAAAAACCACAAAGCTTAATCCTTAATAAATTAAATGTCAAAGGATGAAATTGATGAAAACTTTTATCATACAAAAAAACATATACTTGAAAGAATGAGGCTGAAAATAAAAATAAAAAAATTAAAGGTGTAAAAAAAATAAATTGAAGGGTTAAATTTAAAAGAAAAAAAATTTAACAAAAAAAATTAAAAGAATGAGGACTAAGCTTGAAAAAAAAAACAACATAAATTTTAATTAAATAATGAAATTGAAAACAACAAAATTCTAACAAAAAAGCCAAGAAAAAAATCAAAAATAAAAGATTAAAGATCAAATTAAAAAAAAAAACATATAATAAATTGCAATTTAAAAACTAAATTGAAAATATCAACTTTTCTAAAAGAATTAAGGACCAAAATAAGCAATAAAAAACATAAGGATTAAACTTTAAAAATAAAAAGAAAATAGGATATACGTTAATTTTTTTTGCAATAAAAAAAAATTATCAACAACAAACCGCTCATCAATCATTATCATACATCACATTAAGAGAAAAAGAGAGGCAACACTTTTAATGAAATAACAAAACAATAGATTTAACAAGAAGAAATGTCATATGAGTCATCCAAAAAGTACAAGCACCTCCTAGTCTCTATATTTTTTTATTAAAAAAATAATTATTAAAACCAAAAGGTCCAAAACACACTTTTTGTTTGATATTAACATAAAAACCTGTGTGAAAAAATAAAATAACCCTTGAACTCTTGCTTCCTTTTCCCCTATGTAAAGGCTTAAAAGTTGATGTATAATTTGTATAAAACATAAAAGCATAAAAACCATTGGCTAACCACTTAATTTTTTTTATTGGGAGACAGAAGTATTTTTACTAATCATAAAAAATAAAAAGAAATTAACCTTTTATAATTATTTAATATATAATTGACCTTTTAAAAAAATAAATAAAATCACCCTCAAACATATAATTTTATTATTGCAATAAATAATCTTATATTTCCAGCTTTGTTTGGAAACGCAATGTAAACTGTATTTTTAAAAATTTAAAAATTTTTTATTTTACTTAAAATGAAATTTTTTTTATATTTTTTATATTATTTTAATATGTTAATATCAAAAATAATTTTTAAAAAATAAAAATTTTATTTTAATACATTTCTAAATAAAAAAAATACTTTAAATCATTACCATAATTTCAAACAAACCCCAGCATGTACAGTAAACTCTACATTATTTTAGCATAATCAATGAATCAATATTACTGCACGTTAACCGAATATTAGCATTGGCATCTTTTTTTGGTCAGATGTTAGGATAACAGAAAGAAGTATCAGTTCCAAATTCCACTAAAAAATGAGATGGGTAAAGTCTAACCAGGACACATTGCCAAAAATCCCAAATGTGTGTAGGAATTACATAAATGGTAAAAGGAGAGAAACCAAGCAGATCAGTACTGCATGCTACTACCGTCACCACCACCTATCCTCTACTTTCCAAGCAAACGACGACCACGTTGATTAGCACCCCTGACACGGTAATTTAGCTCATCTACATCATTCTGGAGATGATCCAGAGACTTGGTTTGCCTGCAATTATAGAGATAACACAATTACAGAAGGAATATTCCTTTCTTAAACGACATAATTTCTGAAACAACGCATTTCACATCATTTTTGACAATCAGAGAGCAGATAATCCCCAATGGGAGAGACCCAACAAACATTGGCACCAAATCAACAAATGCTGCTGAGATATCATATAAAAAAACTCACCTGTCAATTTCGGTCCCCATGTCAACCGCCATATTCTTCAACTCTCCTAATATATTACTCAAATCAGACAATGAATCATCTTGCTTCGACTTCTCTAACTGTTCCAGAAGAATCCCAAATAAGCAGAGATAGGTGGGATTGAAATAGCAGATACTCATGGCAGACTTTAGTTCACTTGTACATCAAAAAGACAGAAACCCAAAATGAACAAATTGACTGTCCTAAATAATGGAAGACAGGCAAACTAAAATTGTGGATACTTGTTCCAGACGGTACATTGAAAAAACAAAAACCAGAATTAACAAATGACTTGTTGACTGGGTAGTACAAGCCTGTCCTCCTGATCTAATTTTCTAATTTCTATATACCCCTTCGGGGACGAGGGAAAAAGATGGGACACGCTTACCAACATATAAAAATCCTAACCCAACGTGGAAACCCTAAATTGATCTAGAAGGGAGAAAAATAGTGCATTGAATCTCATGTTTGAAAGAAGAGGACGAAGGTCTCTGTCACAGTCCCGCCACCAGATGGAAAGGAGGAAAGAAGAAGGGAAACCATCTACAAAGTTCATAATACCAAGAAAGATTCATCTATTGTCTTTAAAAAAAAAAAAAATTTATCTGTTCCACAGCCGCATAGCAGTATACCTTTATTTGCTATGAATAATGAGCACATCACAAAATAAAAACAAACCTCAACTTTCTGGAATGCGTTGGTTGGCTCAGGAAGGGGTGTTTGCATGCCAGACTGTCCCTTAGGTGCAGGATTCAACCCCAACTTCTCCCTCTGCTCCAAGTGGTTACCTCTCTTTTGAGGTGAAGCATCTGCAAAAGATAGCAAACCACAAATACATTAAAAGACCACAAAAAAAAAAAAAGAAGAACTCTGATAATTGTATATTATTTCAGCTTCATGCTTCTGAGCCTTCCTACAACTCATATTATACTCTACATGCAGAAGGGTGTCCTCATCTCCCTCATTGTTCTTCCCCGGGGGCTTTTTCATCTCTAAATTAACTTTCAGGTTGCCAATAAAAAAAATGAAAGAAAGAGAGTATAGAAAAGCATGTGTCCCATAGAAAGAAAAAGAAGGTTGAACCCCTCAACCTTTTTCAGAAAATAAACAATAGTAGGTAGCCTAATGTAATATCAAGTTTTGAAGGGGAAAAAATTGACTAGTAGATCACAGCAAATAGGGATAAAAAGTAACCTCTTGTGATAACAGGGCCTGTAATTGGACGGTTCTTTTTCGGCTTCCAAGTTTTAGAGAACATGCCCCCAAGACTTCCCAAAAGCTTCTCACCCTGGAAACAGAAACAACCATGAAATTCCTTTTAGTCGATAACATCAATGGAGAACCATAAACTAGAAAAAAAAAATCAAGAGATTGCAAGGGCACAAGAACTTATATTCTAGACCAAAGTCTTAACAGGTTTAATCAACGATTTTTCCAGTACACTGCTGTTTTTGGTTGGTGGCAGGGGTTTGTGTCCAAGAGTTGAAGGCTAGTGGATAAGGGGGCAATGGTTTTCACCTCTGTTAGTTTTCTTCAAAATACCCCCCAGCAAACTAAACTCACGGGGCTCGATCTAAAGAAGGAGCTCTGAAATTTCAAAAGTCTTATTAGAAATCATAAAGCACAAGAGTAATAGATCTATAAAAATTCATGCAGTATGCAAAAGATGATCATGTCATAGCAAACTCATCAAACAGGATGGTGCTTCCAAAATAATCCAACTAAATATGCAATATAAAAATTCCAAACACCATGTTATAGATTAGTGTTAACATCGGTTATCCACTAGCTCATCTCATTAAGTGAGAAAATCTAAGTAGCATGCATTAAATTCATGAAACATAAAGTAAGATCTCAAACTAAGTCCTACCCGACTAAGATCATGATCGATCTCGACAGCAACATCGTGGGTCTTGGTAATTTGCTCACCCTGTTGATGCAAGGTGATCAAAGTTCTTGTTGCACCCTCTCTCATGTCTTCAGCAATCTTCAAGCAGCCATTTACTGATTTTGTGGTCTCCTCAGCCTTGTAAACAGCATAATTCTCCAATTCTTGAACAGATTGGTTCTCCAGTCCTCCTGAATCACGGAAATCATTATTGTACTTATGTCTTGCTGCTGAAGCAAGGAAATATGTGGATGAAGCCGACGACCCTCTTTCCTCGTCACCATCAAAAGGATTAGTGCTAAAACAGGGTGCAGTTAGATTGGGTTCAGAAGAAGTTTTTCTTGAAGGTTTAAGGGTTTTCTTGGTGTCAAACTCGTCATCAGAATCAAACGGGTTTGGTCGAGAAGGAGCTGGACATTCAGGGTCAACCCTGGTATGCTTAGAAATCTTCAAGGGAGATTTCTTTGAACCAAACATTATGTGAATGAGTGTAACGAAGAGTTTAATAAAGGAGATGCAGAGCAATCAATTGAGATTCCTGCGTAAAATGAAGAAACAAAAAACATGTGAGATAGTGATGGTTGTAAAATAACAGCATTCAACACAAAAAGGAATCCAGTGCAGTTCGATTTAAGCACATGAAATTTTGATTTCAATAAAATCACAATCATCAATCATCAACATGTCACCCTAATTAATTTGGATGTGTTGCGATAATAACATGTATAGATAGTATTTTTCTTTTCGAAAAAAAAAAACCCTCAAACCTACAACTTTAATCAAAATTGATTTATGTTATTCACTTTCTTTATATAACCCAAAAGAAAAGAAAGAATCTTGAGCAAGCAAATAGAAACATGAGGATCTTTTTACTAAAAGAAAATTAAACAAGATTTATTCACTTTTATTTATTTTATAACATTCATCAAGAACAAGATAGAAGAGAAAGAAGCTTGAGTTTTCCGACCGAGCACGCAGAAACATCAATTCTCCGTTAACAACCCAGAAAGCAAGCAAACAAGTAGAAACAAAAGAAAGCCATATTAGAAATTAAAACAAAAAACAAGCATAATACATACCTGATAGAAATTAGACTGGTGCAGGTAACAGTAGCAGTTGCAGTTCAAAGGAAATCCAAACAACCTCTTGTTGTTTTTACAAAGAGAAAGCCAATTTCAACGCGGAGGCACAGCGAAGTCTTGGGTGGCCAATTGCCTTTGGATCAGCGATAGGATACAAAGAAACCGGTTCTAATAATAATAAATAAATAACAAGAAGAAAGAGTCGTGTAATGTGACCCGGCCCTTTTTTTCAAAAAACCAATTTTATATATATATAAGGATTTTCCATGTATTTTTATAGAAAATTAAAAAATTTTATGTATATAAATAATTAAATAAATTACATGTGTCTTAATAAATAAATAAATTATAATAAAAAATAAATTTAAAAATATCAAGAGACAAATAAAAATTAAAATATTTCAGACGAGATATATTATTTAGTTGTATTTGTTAAATTTATTTATTAAAATAATTTTTTAAATTAATCAAATAATAATAAAAATAGAAACGTATTAAATTGATTGAGTAAAATAAAAAAATCATGTAAGGTTGAAAATATTAGAAATATTATTTAAAAAATAAAAAATATTTAAAAAATAATAAAATTTAACCATATAGAAGATTAAAAAAAATATAGAAGAATAAAAAAAATATTTTTAAAAATTAAATACATATAAAATAATAATAAAAATACAATCATTTAAAAAAGACACTAGAGACAAAATATAAGAGAGAAATAATATTAATTTAAATATAAATAAAAAATAATTTGAAAAAAAATTATAAGAAAGCACATTAATCTTAAAAACTAGAAGAAAAAAAACAAAAGGGCAAGCTCATGTACTTGGGCCATTAAATTTTTTTTTTTTGTATTAGCCGTAATTTAAAAAAAACAAATAAGATAACGTGTTATCTGATTTTATTTAAATTATGAACATTATAATAGTTGGAAAATCAAAACTTTAGATTTTTTTTATCTAAAAAATTATTTAAGGATAAAATTAAAAAAATTATAAATAATAAATTCATAGTAAAATATGAAAAGGTGCACAATACTCATTCTACTTGTTTTGGCTTTTTATTTAATGTGGATTAAGAATTGGTCTTATTTCACTATTATTCTTTTCTGTTTTTATAATTAATTAAAAAAAATTAGGGTGAATTTTCTTCTTTTTTTTATTTCAATTTCATTTTTAAATATCAGGTTTTCTAATTTATTTTAATTTTTTAAAAAATTTTATAATCCAGGTTATAGTTTAGCATCATTGAGTTAATTAGAAATTAAGTTTTATAATTTGTTTTGATTTGTTTTCTATAAAGTTATGTTAGTTTTAATACCTGAATCATGGGTTATAACTTTCAACATTGGGTTGATTGTAAATTTAATTTTATAATTTATTTTGATTTGTTTTCTGTGAGGTTCTTCAAGTTTCAAGAACTAGATCATGTGTTTGACATGTTAACCTAGATTGACTCGGGTTTTTTTTATTTTTCTTTTAATAATTTTTTTTCAATTTAATATTTCAACATTGTGTTCATTGAAAATTAAATTTTATAATTTATTTTCTATAAGATTACTATGATATAATTACCCGAATCATGAATTTTTTTTAAATATGTTGTGGCCTTAATATTTTTTTAAAAAATATATCATCTTAATATTTTTAATAATATGTCATCTTAAATATTTTTTAATCAAACTATATTTTCACTGAGGTTATTTTTAAATCCATAAAGTTAATTAAATTATATTGAATTAATTCTAATATAATTAGTTTTTTTTACTAGAAAATATGATAACAATACTTGAATATTTTTTTTACATTTTAAAAAAATTCATCTAACCAAAAACATAAGGCAGATGAATGATCTAGCAATCTCTATTATTATTATTATTAGCTTTTTAGTTTTAAACTTTTGAAACATGTTTACTGTGACAAAAACTCTTATAATTATTAGCAGGCCAAACAAATACAAAGCAACCTGAGACCATTTTGATTTTTTTTCTCCTTTCGATTTTAGTATATGTAAAATCTTTCATTTAGTGGTTGGATAAATAAATAATAAAAAAAGGTATTTAAAACCAAAGTTTAAAGATAACCCTGTCTTGTTGCTTAGAGTTGTTGTTCATCGAAAAAGACTTTTAAAATCGCTGGTTGAGAAGGTCACATCACCTCCTTGGAAACTTGCTACCCGAACAAGACCAAAGAGGTTTGACGTTCGCAAGTGGGGAAAGACACCATCTTTGATTTTGTCCAACGTTGACATCCACAATAAAGATATCATAACCTCTTACTAAAAATGGTCTCTTTCGAAATATGAGATATCAATGATGCATCGATCCATGCCACGAAACTTCGAGGAAAAACCAAACACTTTGAAGGATGCCTTAACCAGTAAGATAATAAGCTAGAAAATTCAAATGACAGATTTCTGGTTGATTAATCAAAGCATCCCAAGCCACGGAGTGGTGAACAATAAAACAAATGGTAAAGGCACAAACTCGCACCCTCTACATTCAGATTAATCTATTGGGTTCCACTCAAATGCGGTGCAGAATATCATTCAATGTTGCGTTCATCAGACCCAAAAAAAATATAGCAAAGAAGTAAATATTGCTCATAGCCCTTCATTTGTAAATGTAATATTATTTCCTTCACTCATATAGCTGTCCTGTAATCCGCTGAATCTTCAAAAACCATATTCACAAAATTTGCCTTCTAAAATGTTCTTGTAAATGATATGTATTGACATGTTCCCTGAGACTCCATACTGTACGGATTTCTGTCAGAAACCTCAAAAATCATCCTGCACACAAGCATACAATATCATCAATCAATTCTAGTAAAACCCAACAGGCAGCAGTGAAGGTGTTGATAGATTAGTGGAAAGAATTTTGAGTTTCATGCACAGATATTGTAAAGGGTGCCAGGGATACTTATTTCTTTACTAAGACTTTGTTACTCGATGATGTGACAGATTGTGATTGGTAATTTATTAGCTAATTCATTCCATAATTATCATTATGTCTCTAATTGTGATAAGTTTCACTTAAAAAGGAAGGGTTCAGAAGGCAGCCACAAGTTAGTTGAGGCTAAAGTTTCTGAGTCAAGCTCCATACATGGCTACTAAGTGTCTCAACCAGATTGCACTAGTTGGAGAAGAAGAGAGAAGATAAAATGAAGGCTTAACCTGTCATGGAAGAAACCCTACTAGTTGGACACACTTCTTTGGCTTGTATAAATTGTAAATGAAGTCACCACCTCTTCAACAGAAGCTTAAATCAAATAAGAAAGCAACTGCAATCTTGTTTCTATTTTTTCCCCTCAATGCTAGAGAAAGGCCGTGACCCAGTTATGATCCAACCATAGCAGCATGCCAGTAGAGAGAATTCAGAGATAATCGATACCTACAGCATATATGCATGAATAAAAAAACCTGCTCTTCACCCCGTGGTTGAAATATTAAGATGATTCCTAAGCAATGGTCCCTCTTCCCAATATATGACATGTTCTCATAGTTCTTACAGTTGACCAGAATTAGCTGTCTGGATAGCTGAATGCATGGCCATGGTAGCTTTTGCTGGAACCCCCCCACCTAACGAATGTGGCATGGCAAAGACATGTGGCAAACCAGTGCCCTAAAACAATGTAACCTTCAGAAGATGATGATTTGTGAAACAAATATAGTGTAAATGAACTCTGATGAGCAATTTTTTTGTGAAAATTTCTCACTGCACGTCTCCATTGAGCATCACATCAGAATGAGAGCTGAATGAAAATCCAAGATGCGAAATTACATACCAACAAAAGTTTAGCTAGTATCATTTGAGGTTCAGTCAGCATTCTCAGTGTACTTGTGCACTGAAATGCTAAAATGCTGGAGACATTTTAATACATGCTACCCATATGAAATAATAGCACCTAAATGGATATATTTTTACATCATTGATGCACATATGGTAATTGTATTTTTCACATGCTTGCTATCATATATTGAACCCTGCAGTTGATTTATCTCTTAGGCAGCTATCTCAGAACCAAATTCAGACATTATAAAACAAACAAAAAATATCAAACGGCATCCTCAGGCGCCACTGAATAAAAATAAATGCAATCATGCCAACACAACACACAACAGCATCTTAGATGCAGGAATACCTGCAGAGCATTGAAAGAGGAAGGATTAGATAGACACAAACCTGAACCCTTATTTCCAATTAATGGATTTCCACAGTTCTTAATGCCTATGCTTCATGGAGATGCCCAGCAGCAGCAAAAAATTTCCTCCGTTCTCTTTCAATCTTACTCAGAAAAACAAGAAAGACCTTCAGAATTATGTAAGCCTCTGTTAACTAACCTGGTGACTGCAAATCAACCATCAATACCTGTGCCTCTAGTTCAGATATTCTCTGCAAAGATGCTTGTTCAATGCAAGCACGGCGCTTGCACTCCTCTTCAAGCAAACCCGTCATTTGGTACCTCAGTTCAGCCATTTCTTGTGCTAGGTCATCCGCTTCTTCCTTTGCCTTCGATTTTTCCTCTCTCAATTCATCCTAGTAATAATTCACATGTCAACCTCAGCAAGCTAACAAAAAGATACAAAATTCAAAACACTGCAAGGACCAGAACAACTTAATTATGTAATTAAGTTTATCAGCGTCTTAGCACTGTTCACCATAATTATAGATCTTCATAAGTCAAAATCCATACCTTAAGCTCCTTCACAAGAACTTCATATTTTCTTATCTGATGTGACATGCTCTCCATCCACTCCTTCAAATTTGATTCTGATCCCAATTGTGTTGCAAGCTTTGAAAAGCATGGACCTAAGGCCTCTCTGCATGCATTTTACAAAAAATAGTAAAAGCATCGCGAAAAAATCAATGAAATTCTTAAACAAAGTCATATTAAAAGAATTAATGTGAATCCTATACGTTAGAACTTAGAGTTAAGGAAATGCCCATTGTTTAGAAAGGCATAGCATCCAAAATACATATTTGGAAAAAGCTTTCAAAATAAAGTGTTCAATGTGTCTTTTTGTGGATGCTAAAGCCCAGAATTCTCAAAGGGAAGAGGTTAGTATCTAAGAGTTTCTTAGCCTGGTACAGAAAGTAGCTGTAGAAATTGAGTAGCATGTAATATCAAGAATATAAATTTATGATCTAACAGCTAACAACTAAATTAATGGAAATGCATGTTTTAACTTACCTCATTTCTTTTGACATATTACTTTGGTGCTCTATCTCACTTGAGTATGATTGAGTATTAAGTTGTGATGTGTCCTTGTTTTCAAGCCATTCCTCAATCTGCTGAAGAAATAATTTAGAGTTCACATCAGACGTAACAAGTTTGTCCCTCAATTCTATGTTCTCTTTCTCTACACATTCAATATTTTCCTTTGCCTCAAGAATCTGAAATTCAAGTTCTTTAATTAACCCATTCATCCTAGCATTTTCTTGGATGGTTTCTTCCTGGGTTTTTTTAGCTTTAAGGCAAGCCTGCTCCAAAGCTATCATATCAAGCTTCATGCTCTCTATTTCACATTGGGAATCTAGAGTTAGAGATGAAATCGACTCCTCCAGCTTCCCTATGCACAAAGCTGACTCCTGCAACTCTATTTCTTTGCTCTCTAGTTCCTGTAACATTAACAAGTTCTCTGACTCACACCTTTTCAGTTCCTCTCTTAACTGGCCATTGTTTGCTTGTAAATGTTCCATATTAGCTAATTTCAACTCAAGCTCATGCACATGCTCCCCCAGGGTGTATGCCTCTGAATTCCTCGCATTTAGCTGATCCTGCAAGTAATCTATGAAAGGTGTGATGATCAGGTTAAAGCCAAATCAAAGAATCATATGAACATACAGTCAGGAACTGGGGGAAAATGCAGCCATCAATGACATACATATGTAGTATAAATTCAATTCTCATTCAATGTCTACCTCTAGATGGTAATGAATATAGCAGACAACAAATATTAAAACCCTCTTGTACAACCATAGCTATGAAAATCATTTGATGGAATTTTGGACATTGGTGATTATTCGTCTACGTACAACTTCACTATTAATTAATCAAAACCTCAGTTTCAACAATGAACTTAACAAAAGGAGCTCAAAGCTTAAAATTATAATTGTCACTATGAAGACAGACCAAGTGTAGCACTTGATATTGGACAATTAATGTTTAATTTTGACATGAACCTTTTAAATTTTTAAGATATACCAAAAAAGGAAGGACCACTACCTATCTCTTGAGAGCAGTTCAACAACTCCCTTTCCAACTTCTGAATGTGTTTCTTGTCTTCAGTACGAGCCTCTGATAATTGTTTCACATGTAGTTCTAATCTCTGCATCCACAAAATCTGAAGTTAAATCTTTTTGTTCATGTTGCATTCTTTAGCTACATTTTTTCAATTCTCACAAGACAACTAAAAGCACATAGTAGAAAGCAGAACAGAGGATGAGCTATGAGATCGAACGTGAAGTGCTTTCTTCTATTTTTGTGTAATTTGTCTCAACCCTTGTTCTTCAATCACTAGCAAAGTAAAAGTGAGTGGTTAAGACTGTAAAATACAAATCAAATAAAGATGATTTGAAGATTAAATGATTAATGCCAAAAATTTGTTAATTGAGAGTTGGAATTGAACTCCTGAAACTGACTCACCAGTTAAACAAGAGAATAAATGTCCGTGTTTGTGGAGGGTAGATTTTCATCAACTAAAACTGTTTCAATTGATATGAATGGATTAAATGCTGTTTTCTTAAAAGGATTTCCAAGAATGGACAAAAAGATTTGGGCCAGAGGATGTATTATATAAGCGATACACAATCCAAATCTTAAAAATGAAAACATTGAACACAGCATTTAAGCAGGTGGATTCGCTATGTGATCCTTTAATAGGGCACGCTGGCAGCAGCCCCAAAAGGTATTTAGAAGGCATTCTAAGATTGATTTTAACACTCAAGCATTGATTTGGCACATGGCTAGTGGTGGAAAACTTAGTTGGGAACTTGATTAGATCATAACAGTATTTTGGTAATTATTGGATCTGCTGGAAAATCTAGAAATTACAATATTTTATTTTATTAGTCTTAGAGTTATTAGGTTTTCCTATTCTAAAAAGGAATAGTTACTTTGGAGGCTTAGGAATTCATGTCTTGTTGGATTTGGACTACCAAAACTCCATAAAAAAGCATGTAGTCATTCAATATTTTGATTACAGTTTATGAATAAAATTCCAGCAATTTGCTTGCAATTGTGTCTCAATCTCTCCTAGGTGTGACTCTTAAGAACCCTTGTGTGAAGCTTGGGTTTTCCTTTTCCTTAGGTGTGGTTTGTAGAAATATATAGCTCCAGCAAAACCCCCAATAATACAGCCCTAAACAGCCTCTGAAATCAGATCCAGAACAACCCCCAAAGCTGTCCTGCATCATTCTTCCATGTGATGCATATTTGCTAGGCAGATCATAGAAAGGCCTGAAGCAAGGTAAATCGAAAAGTTCTTCCCACATAGGCTAAATTCATCTTGAACACACTCCGGAAAATGGATACAAAACTTAACCATATAATATGAAAACGAACACAGGTAATGACTTACATATCATAACATATATTTTGCATAAGAGGAATAACAATCAATCTTGCATAAAATAAAAATTCACCCTGATAAGTTCAAAGATCTGGGGTTGTGAATCTCTCAACATGTCTTTTTCTTTTCGCAGCTGCAGTGATGCAAGGAATAAATGGTTGAAGAGTTAGCTGCTATGAGAATTTAGACAGAACAACAGTCTTTCGTTGATGAAAAAAGAACCTCTCTGCATCGAGTCCCAATTTGCAAAAGTTCCTCAGCATCAAAAGAGCTGTCGCCATCACTTTTGGAGCTACTCGACATTTAAACAAGAAAGCCTGGATTGCAAGCACAAATGAATAAAAAAGAGATAGATGCCTAAACTATCAGCAAGCAAATCAGAAATCTAGGAAAACACTTGAAGCATAGAATGCATGTATATGGTCATGTCAGTTAAAGGAAAATCTAAAGTCTTCACATTTATCGAAAGGCGGACAAACATTCTACCAAAAAAAGAAGGCAAAATCAAATGAAAAGGTGCAAAAAGATGGAAACTTGTTATATTCATCATCTTCTTAAGCATAAGCACGAACCCTTTTTTCGTTTCTACAAATCAACATTGTTTTGCATGATTCTGATAACATTGGTTGATAGCTTAAAAGGGGAAATGCTCATTTTTGCAAATAATAATAATAACAACGACGAAAAAGAAATGATATAGAAGGACTCCTGCTCCATTGCTTGTGCTGGTATAAGAAAAACTGCAAGAGTATTGCTAGAAATAACATGGGTTTTCTTCATTTTATGATATAGAGTGAACCAGTAACAAAACAGAGTTAAGATTAACAACGGGGGGAAGACATAGTAACCTATGAATTAGAAGATTATCAATCAAGACCCAAACCCCATGAAATTGAAATGTAAATGAGGCAATTTCGAATGAAAATAATCATCAAAATCATGACATAGAGATTTACCTGAGAAATAACTCTGATAATAGTAATAAGAGAGATATAGAATTAGCTTCAGTTTTTGGGAGAGGATGAATTTAGAGATTACCGACGAATAACGATAATAATAATAATTTATGCCATTTTAAACACAGGTCAGGAGATGAGTTGGCGCTATTTATGAAAAGCCCCAAACGTATTACCCTTCTATCATTTAAATCTCAAACCTTTAATTTTATCAATTTTACCCCAAAGCTAAATGAACCTGTAACAATATCATCCCTTATTGGTGTTGATTAAATATTTTATCCAATCGAAGACACCAAAATACATTTGAATATACTATAAAATATAATCTTACCTTTTAATTATAATTTTGTCTCTTACTTATATTATTCATTATGACATATTAAATTTTATTTTGACACTTTTAAATAGTGTTTTGTTATTATTTTAAAACATAAAAGACAGAGTAAGTTACCACAAAAAAAAACTTTTGGTTGTGGATTTTTATCTATGTCTCAAGGATAATATTTAACAAAGTTTATGTACATCTTAAAAAGGCGATGGAAGAGGGACAAAGCTAAAAATAAAATTGATTTTTTTTTTTTACAAATATCCCTTTAAACTTTTCATAATTTCAATCTATATCCTTATATTTACATTTAGACCCCTAATTTTAATTAACTTAATCTCACCATCATATTTGATAACTAGAAAATTTGAAACAAAAATCATAAAAATATAGGAAATATAACTAAAAGGGAGGGAGAGGGGGGGGGGAGAATGTATTTTTTAATTTACTCATTTTCAAATATATTTTATCACACCCACTCACACATCAATATTTTAATTTTAAAAAATAATTTTAAGAATTGTTATATTTAAAGTTTGATTTTTTTTTTCATTTTATCAAATTCATATAGAAAACTCAGTTGCTCAAAATAAATAATGAATATTTATACAAATTAATAATTTATTATAATTAGAAATGAATGAATTAGAGTGAATTATTTTTTTAATAAATTGTTTTACACAAAGAATGATTTTTTTTACATTATGAAAGAAAATAAATATCATTATTAAAAACATTAATATAATAATCCAAGCATAGATAAATAAAAATGAAATATATATATATATATATATATATATATATATATTCAAGTCACAACCCGAGTTTTGACGTTTATTTCCAAAATATTTTTCATAAAAATACCTTATCAATAAATTCAATTGATTTTAATAGTTTTATTATTTTCAATCCTTTTGTTTATTTTATTTCAAGTATCAAGTTATAAACTCAAGAAAAAAAAACTAAATCAATAAAATATTATAAATTGACAGATAAAAAATAAATAAATATAAATTATCTACCATAAGGGATAAATTCTTATATGGTAACTATTCAAAAGGAATCAAGTCTATTAAGGAAAATCAATAATGATATATAAAAAAAATTTCATAAAGAAGAAATTCTCAAATGGTAGCCATTTACAAAAAAAAAAAAGCAAAAGTAATTATGGAAAATCAATAGTTTTGGAAGAAAGAATAAACTACCTGAATTAAAGACAAAATTAAATCTATAATTAATTGTCTTTGATTTTCTAATATAATTTAGCATTGTAAATAGGAAGAAGAGAATAAAGAAAAAAAAGAGAAGAAAAACAGGTAGGCAATCAGAAAAAAAAAAAGTGTTAAGAGAAACTAAGAAGAGAAAAAGAAAGTGTTTAAGCAATAGTTCTTGATGAAATACACAAGACTTTAGTGTATCTAGAGATATAGTAACACAAAAGTGATTGTTTGGTTTCAATACAATTCAACTATAGCAACCCAAAGTCAGAAAGCAGCTATCTATTAGCTTCGTTTCATGGATCAAGTGAACCAAATGCATGATATTTTTGTCTATTTCTTCTTTTTAAAAGGAGGAATTGACATCCAGAATCTTGGCTCTAGCTCCAATTAAACTATAAATATGTGATTGTTAACTTTGTTCTATGAGTTGACGTTTAAACAAGCCAACCGCTTCTCCATGTGTCGCAGGGTTACGTTTCTTCAAACATGCAAGGTACAATTCTTGCATTATGATCTTTCAATGTGATTAGCTCCAAATTGTTTGTTACAAGGTGTGCTGCGGCGTTGTCAGGTGATGATGAAGATTGTTATTATTAACTAATACTTTAAATGGCGTGGGGGAAAGTACTGTAGCTTTCCCCACGCCACATGTTTTCTTTTTTTCTTTCTGTTTATTTTTTTTTGTTTTTCAAGGATTTATATGTTTTTTTTTTCAAGATTTTTTTTATTTTTTTATTTTTTTAAAAAAATTATTTTTATTAATATTGAACTGGTTGGAAATTTAATTTTATAATTTTTTATTTAAAATATTATAAATTACTACAATATTTCCCTATATGATTTTTTTTCTTCTTTTTTATGAATTTTTTTAAAAAATAGTTTTTGTCGATTTTATTTTTTTCATATCGAGCTGGTTGAGAATTTTTCTTTATAGTTTTTTTATTTAAAATATTATGAATTGTTATAATGTTTCTCTATATAATTTTGTTTTGCTACAGTGTTTCTTTACATGTTTTTTTATATTATCTTTTTCAAAAAAATTTTAATATTGAGTTGATTGAGAATTTAGCTTTAACTTTTCCCACATATTTTTTCTATTTTTTCTTTTTGCTTTTTTTCAAAATTATCTTTTTATTTTTATTTTTTTAGAATTGTTTTTGTTGATTTTATTTTTTTAATATAGAGATAGTTGAAAATTTAGTTTTATAGTTTTTCTCTTGAAAACATTATGGATTGCTATAATATTTTTTCACATGGTTTTTTTATTTTTTATAATTGTTTTGAAAATTATCTTTGTCGATTTTATTTTTTTCATAATAAGATGATTAAGAATTTAGTTTTATAGTTTTTTTTTAAATATTGTAGATTGCTACAATGTTCCTTCACATGATTTTTTTTTTGTTATGATTTTTTAAAAAATTATCTTTATCAATTTTATTATTTTTAATATTGAGCTGGTTGAGAATTACAACTATAGATTTTCTCATGAAACACTATAGATTGCTACGGTGTTTCCCTTCATGGTTTTTTTCTTTTCTTTTTTTTTCTTTTTATTTTTTTCATATTGAGCTTGTTGAGAATTTAACTTTGCTTTTTATTTTTTCTAAAACACTGTGGATTGCTACAATATTTTCCCACATGATTTTTTTGTTATGATTTTTTCTAAAATTTTCTTTGTTCATTTTATTTTTTAAATATTAAATTGATTGAGAATTTAACTTTATAATTTTTTTCTTGAAAACATTATGAATTGTAATAGTTTTTCTCCATATAATTGTTTTATATAAATTTTTTAACAAACCCACAACAATGCACAAGCATATTACAAGCCCGCGACATCGCGCAGGTATAGAATCTAGTATCTCTTGATAATGTGTGGTATTAAAAAGGTTTTAAAATTTAATTATAAAATTATAATTAATAATTAGGGATTGCTATCTAGTTTATGGTTACTTGAAATCTTTAGTTTGTGAGAATCTTAGTAAAGGATTGATTGTGTAAGGGGAAGATACATCATTCTAGTGCACTTTGCCTAAGTTAAGTTGCATTATTGTTTAATTTTTTTCTAGATCGGGTTTTTATTTGTTGGTCTTTTCTAAAGTTCAAAGTATATATCTCTTCATGAGAGAATCTCAACTTTATTGGATTAAATCCTAACCATTTTAAAATTTGAATTTTAGTACCATGTTTATTTACACTTTGAATCTTTAATACATGAGAATGTACTTTATCGTGTAATTTTATACCATACGATATGTCTACGTCTAAACTCTAAAAAATATATTGGAAAAAAGTTTTTGATATCTTATCCCAATTCTAATGGATGAGATCATAAACTAGTTATAATATCTTTTTTTTTTCAAAACATGATAAAGATGTAATTTTTTTATGAAAATATGATTGGAAAACTTTTAGAATTTGACTGTATGCATGAAAAAATATTTTTTTTTTATTTTTGATAAGGAAAATTAGTTTAAAAGTTTTTTAGACTTTGTTTTGAATTTTTTTGAAATATTTTAAAGAAAACTGAGTAATTTGATATCAAATTTTTATTTTATATATATATTAGTTGAGCCGACCCAGTTAATTGGGCTAAGCTTAGCCCAAAGAAGGGTCGAGTTGGATTAATCTTGGCCAAATAGATCTTTTTTTTTTTGTGGGTTAACACCAGCCCATACATTGAGGTTGGGTCATAACAGGCCCGATCTAGGTCCTGTATTCATGCAACGGATAGAGGGTGAAGAAGAAGAAGAAAGCAACCTGGCACAGTAATGGTATGGACTTGGAGTAGGTTCAGTCAGTGACTCAAAAGGTGTCGGTTGAGGGAATGGTGGGTAGAATTGGGTGTGGGAGGAAGAAGATAAGGTTTGCAAAGGAGAAGAGAGGGAGTCATGGTGGTTGCCTTATGGCTGGATGATGATTGTATTGGCTTCCTATGGTGGAGCTGGTGGCGAAAGAGCTAAAGGTAGTATGGTTTAAAGGCAGGGAGAGAGAGGGACAAAAATGGCAGAAAACTAGGGGAATGTGGCTGATTTTTCATCAACTTTGAACTTGATTTTCTTTATTCTTAGGTCATGAAATCCACCCCTATTTATAGGAGATGGAAGAGGGTAATCTTGTTTATACAAAGAAAAAAAATTTAGCCATTGATTCATTTGGAAAGGATCCCAACTGTTGGTTGAAAGTAAGCACCATGAATTGTCAAATCTGACAATTCAAGACTGTCTGAATTGGCCTCTTTAAATCGACTATGGGACCGCTATCATGTTAATAGGTTTGAACGGATCATATTCGAGGATAAATGAATGTTACGTAACCATTTTGGTTCATGTATTGTCAACTTTAATGGACGTATGAGGCATTAAATGCATCTGAAATGCAACCACTTAAACAACATTCTCAGGAAAGACAATGAACAATGACCAGACAATGCGCCTTTTGGTTTGTGTTTTTTTTTTAAATGCAAAACAGCACCGTTTAGGTTTAAATTAGGGGTTTTTATCCAACTCCAATTTAGTCCTTCAGCTTTCAATTTTGTTCAATTGCACCTCTAAT